AACTACCAACTAGATCTACAGAAGATCTTTCAAAAATTATTAGCGAAGCACATGCAGCTGAAATTGCTTCATGGGTTGATGGCAAAAATGATGTATATTCAATAGCAAATAATCCATATGAATTTAAATTACTTCTCCGTGGAAGCAGAGACGGTTTCAATACTGAATCGTTTTGGGATCTATGTAATAAAAAAACAAACATTGTTGTGGTAGTAAAAGTTAAAGGCACAGATGAAATTCTTGGTGGATATAATCCTATTGGATGGGAATATAGCGACACTTATCGAACGGAGAATTGCAATAAATGCTTTATTTTTTCATTAAAAAATGGATCTATTAAAAAGTCTATTCTAAGTCGTATACAAGATCCGGATGAAGCAATTTATAGCGATCGTGATTTCTTAGGATTTTTTTTAGGTCTTTCTATAGGAGAAAATAATTGGCGTTGTTCCTATCGTATATTTAAGTCCATCTATGGAAAAATTAGAGATAAGTCTAAATATATAGTTTCATCTACACGCATTTGGGGTGTTTCTAATTCATATTTTTCGGTGGATGAATATGAAATTTTCCAAATTCATAAAAAAGCATAATTATCTATTGTTAAAAACCTTATATATTATAAATTTCACTAGTTCATTTTTATTCCTTTATTATAACGATAGTAAATTCGAAAAGGATCTGGAAGATAACTAGGAAATTTAAATAAGTCATATAGTATTAAGTGTTAGTGGGATCACCTATCAATATATTATATCATAAATTATGTTTAGCATTGAATAGTATGGTATAACTTATTTATAAATGGATAAATAAAAAAAAAACTTAAAAAAATAAATCTTCGGAAATTAATTTAAATCATATATACTTTTACATATGTTTATTAAAATATTTCAATATTTTCAGTGACTCATGTCATTACAAAATTTTAGTGATTTTGCAAAATATCGAAGAAAAATTATATAAAACCAACGAATTTCGGATTAATATCTATCAAGATTCATTTCAAATAAAAGATAAGGAAGGATGTAACATGAATATTTTCGGTAAGAGTGCACAATAGCATTATATTAAAAGTTTCAACTGGAAAACCATTCTATAATATCTAACCTCAAGTTTACAAATAATTTTAATACAGAAAATAGAAATGACTTCTTGAATTAAATAAGATTATTTCTGCATTAAAGCTAATTTTATTCTCCAAGATACTAATTATACATCTCATTAATTTTTCGGGAAAATATATTATTATTGTTTTTAATATAATCATTTCAAATTTTAAGCTAAATTTAATTTCGTATATTATGATAGACTTTAAATATGAAGTTTGAAACTCTATGTTAATTAGTTTAAGATAATTATCGGTGGTGTCATTTGTGATTTAGGTAAGGTTGTTAGTTTTGTATTGAACTTATCGTGATTTTGTACAATGATTTGCTGTAAAAAATTCGATTATCATGCTTATAGATTATTATAGTGACAAATAATTCACTAGATGAATTTAAAACTGTTAAGATAAATATCATCATCTTATTAACATAAGTTTAAATTTTTTTTTACAAATAATTTTTGAATATAAAGTGCCTGGATGCGGTCCAAAGCCAATAATGATCATATTTAGTGTTTATTAGTAAAATTTAGCAAGAAAAATTTTTAAAAATTGTTACTACATTTTGAATAAAATAAAATATATTCGGCAAATCATTACGTTTCTAAATTTGAACAAGTTCAATCATGGATGTCTTTTTCTTTTTTTTCTTTTTGCGAAAGTAAAGGTGTTTAAAATAAGAACATTGCTACAGTAAAAATCATTACGATAAACAAAGTATGTATTTGATATTTACAATCTATCGATGTCTATCTTGCCAACTAATTTATCATTTAGATAGTATTACGTTACGACTTCCTTAAGCTTATCTAGTCAATTACTAGGATTCATTCTTGGATTACTGTAATTACTAGTCCCAAAGCTATTATTATTAGTTTTGCATTCACTAATTATTAAATAAACTGATCACAGTTGGAATTGTTCTTTTATCATTTGGTGTTTTTAGTGTTTGACTAATGATTTGTTATGTATAATGAAGTTGTTTATCACATAAGGCGTTGTTGTATCAACAGGAGGCTTGAATATAGTTAACAGTGAAATTGCAAGCTAACTGCCAGAACGAGATTATGTGGCTCGTTAATATGTTGTGGGATAGATAAAAAGAACATAGTGGAAATTTTTCCTAATCGATTATAAAGATACCTTTTTCAAACACAAAATAGGAATTTAATAGATATTTTCAAATCGATTACAGAATGATAACAAATATACTTTTGATATGTACCGACTATGACACATTAATCATCCAAATCAATTTACAAAATAAATCATGGTCGGCACGGAATATGAACCCGTGTGTAATTAGGTTATTTACTACGTACGTACAACCCATACAATCTCTATAAATTAAAAATTACTATTCATACCTCCTATATATTTTGTTATTCGTATCCTCCTCTATATAAATAATTATATAATATTAATATAAAAATTTTTATTTTTAGTCAGATCATATATTGCTTTAGGTTATGTCCGTTGTGACGTGTTATAATAATAATAATAAGCCGTAATAGTAACCGTAGCTGACCGGTTAAATAATAACCGATGCCAGATTCTTTAAAAAAACCATAATTTTGTTTCATGTTACAGTTGTTACGTATCATAAATTTTGGGACACCTGATAAAGATCTGCTTAATGATTTGAGTGCTGCTGCAAAGTGAAAACCTGGAATTCCGGTTTTTGTCGGCTCCGCTTTCAGATCCAACTCCTGATAAATTTAAATTAAGCATAACCAACACTCATTTCTCATTTCTAATTCAATAAAATCTGAGATTTTAAACAAATGATGTAATTGCATGATTTTCACGTGATTGACGATATTTTTAATTCTGGTCAAATTTGTAGATCATTTGAATCATTTGAGATCAGTCCGACAATGGGTATTTTCGGAGCAAATGTTTGTTTTTATCAATCAACCAATCAAAACCCTTAATTTGCGGACACACACACAACCAGGTCACTATGACTCTTCTGTAATGTCCTTCGGACAATTATAACCGAAATTTTTTCCTCTATAACTTTATTAGAAGTAGGTGAAGAGTTTACATGGTAAAAATCTAAATAATCGATTAAATAATTGATCTGTTATGACCAGTTATTTAATCTTATGTAACCGACCATGGTCTATTGCAGAGATGGTAAATGACCTTCAAATGACCTTCAAATGACCTCAAACGACCTAAAAACGACCTCAAACGACCTTAATTTTATTATAAATGTTGGTCGGAAATGACCTTTGTCATTTGAAAAAAAGGAAATGACCTCAAATTTTACCATCTCTGGTCTATAGTTGTTAGACGAAACCTTTTTTGTTTGGTGACGAAAGACGAAACCTAAGCCCCAAAATGACGAAACCTCTGACGAAAGGTGAAACCTCAAATTCTGCTGACGAAAGACGAAACCCAAATTCAAAATGACGAAACCTTAATGCTAAAAAAAATCCTCTTGGTGCTCCCACTAAAAAAAAAAAAAAAACTGAATTGATAAAACTTTATGATAATAGTGAATCCCTACTTCTCTCACTAAAAAATTACTAGTGAAATTTTGGTCTAGATTAAGAAGAATTACAGAAATTATAAATAGCAAATAAGCTATTAGCATCTATGTTTAATGGCTTGACCCGGCTTGTATATTTAGGTTTTGAAAAGCCAATTACGGAAATTTTATAATTGAAGATCTGAAACAATGTATGTACATACGTACCTCTTATTAATAATTTTTATTATCTGTGCTAATTTATTAATAAAAAGTCTTTTATTAATTTAGCCAATAGGCATAATAATTTTTTAATTGATATCGATATACAGAAATATGTAGAATAATCTTAATTGTGCTAATTTACTTAATTGATCAATTACTTCTTAAGTTACTTATTAAAATTGATACAATTGTATGTTTTAAATTTTAGTCTTATATAAACATAAATGTAGGAGCCAGTGGCGCCCTTACTTACACTTGCTTCCGTTTCTCTTTGCAGTTTCGTCAGTTTCGTCACCTTTCGTCAATTTCACACCTTTCACCAGTTTCGTCACTTCCAGTTTCGTCACCTTTTGTCATTTCGTCATTTGAGATTTTAGTTGACGAAAGACGAAATTAGGTTTCGCATTTCGTCAGCGTGAAACCTCAAGGTTTCGTCTAACAACTATACCATGGTCATCTGGTTGACCATAAATAACTGATATAACTGATAATAACTGATCGTAAACTGATCATCACCAACCGAACCCATTTCTAGTCACAACTATATTTAACTATTCAATCTGAGAAATTGGTTAATACTATTGATTCATCAATCATGGTGTAATGGTAATATAATCGATTGCTTGATTTAACAACATTAATATTTTACTTGATGTTTATTTTCAGGTTATTTCTAGTTATTTCTAAATTTGTTTGAGTTGATCTTAAAGTTAATGTTAAACTTACAAATTTAAATTTGTTGATTAATATTTAGTGTATCCTCATGAACCGCCATATTGCTCATTTTTCTAAAAGGAAACTGTTTATTCCAACATGCAACAGTTCTGGTGCTGTTCTTCCAAAAATTTTTTATCGATTTCATGTTATCTTTATTAAAAAAAAATAGATACCGTATTTATTTTGAAAATCACATTCCCTAAAAATAGTATACTTAACTTCAAAATAATGCCTATGTGCGTCCTGAAATAGCGCGCACCCTATATAGTATATAAACTTAAATTGGTTCTCATAACCCGGCCAAGTCGAAATTTATAAAACTAAAAAAAAACTTCACATATTCTTACTATCCGGGTGAGTTCTTTTAAAAAATCTATAAAAATTTTGAGACATAATTAATTAATCTAGAATATTCTATACAAAAATTTTTACATATGTAAGTAAAATATTAACACGTTATATCATAACTATTTATCAATCATAATCGACCTTGTACCCATTTTTGTTACCGAGTTCTAATCTTTGTTTCTTAAATTCTTTTAATTCTTCTAGATCTTTAGAAACTTTGGATTTTTTTAGACCATATTCATGCCATTGAAAACGCCATTTATTTCCAAACAGAGATATTCCATTTATACCACTTAGTTTAATGTTTTTTATATTCCTGTATAAAATTTTTTAAAAATAAAATTAAAGCACTCCGATTTATTAAGTTTGTATGGCAGTATTTTAAATGCATATGAATTTATTTCAATTTGTTTACTTAATGTTTATATCTAAATAGTTGAATAAACTCTTTACATTTGCAAATTACAAATCTATATCTAATGAATTTAACAATATTCTGAGTTAAGAAAAAAAAAGGAAATATAAAATATCTTATAAATTCTCAAACATATTGGAGATGAGAAAAGAAATATAAAGGCTAATCCATTCAATGCATACGTATAAGAAAAACAGCAAAGTAAACCTTAAAATTTCGATCATTATACTGCATGCTAGAAATATTTATATATAAATTTTGAATTAATAATTATTTGTATTTCTTATTTAATTGATTTATTTAATTTAACAACTTACGTTAATTATTATTCTACCATTCTATCATCATCCGTCACATATTCGAAATCTGCATTTTCATCATCGCTAGTATTATCGTCATCATCGTCGGTTTGATTTTCTATATCCATTACACTTTCACTTTCAACTTCTTCATCTTGAAGTGCATCCAATAACTCATTCATATTTAACTCAGTCATACGATCTTCAACAATTGCTCGAAGACGATCTGACATTTTATGATCCTCACTACCATCTGGGTTAAGCGTAAGCCCAGTTGCTTTGAACAATCTGACTAACACATTGGAACTAATTTCCTTCCAGGTTTTAGACACCCATTTGCTAACAAGTTCATATGAGGCTTTCTTACAGTTTCCGTTTTTAGTAAATACTACTTTTCCTTTATCAATCCACTCTTCCCATCTTTGTCTCATTCCATTTTTAAATGGCTTATTAATCGAAACGTCTGGTGGTTGCAAAATGCTAGTGGTTCCTCCGGGTATTTCTAAAAGATCAAGCCCTTCTACCATAAATGCTCTTTTTACATCTTCATGAATATGACTTCGATGACCATCTACAAATATAATGCCTTTACATTTAAAAAAACTATTTGGTCTTGCCCGAATAGCTTGAGAAATATACATAGAGATCATAAGGTCTGCTTTCATATTCGCATGAGATGCTGCTGCAACAATGATATCACGTAAAAATTGGTCTTTGGGCTTTTTTTTCAATTTAAAAATTACTATAGGTGGAAGTTTTACTCCAGAAGCCATATAGCCCAAAACTACAGTGAATTGTAATTTATCACTACCAGTAGTCTTTATTGGAACCTCGTGTATACCTTTAAAATCATATGTTGAATTACGAGGCATGTCGAACCACATAGGCGTTTTGTCGAAAGAGATAATAAATTGGTTTTCAATAATGCTTGTTTTTTCTTGTGAAATTTTGAGAAAGTTTTTGATAACTACAGGCATATTTTCAGGAAATTTTTGTGCAATTTGTGTTTGTGTTCATTCTACAAAACCATGCCATTTTCTAAAACGTTTACACCAGCCACGTGAAAACTTGGTATCCCTAATACCTAAAGTTTCACCTAACTCCTTTGCTTTTTTTTTGATCACCGAAGTTGTAACTACAATTTTTTCTTCTCTCTTTTTTTTAATATATTCAACTAATTCGTTTTCTAGCTCAGAATACATAGGTTTTCGACCTCGACCACTAAGAACACGTGCTTGATCTATATTAAAACCTCTATTTTCTTTAACAGCCTCAAGTTTTGATTTTTGCTGCCTCTATTTTTGAACCCGCCTTCGATCAATTTTGTGAAATATTGCTGCACGACGATTAGACGTTTCTTCTGCATAAGCAATTACGTCGAGTTTAAATGCGATAGTATAACTGCGACTTTTGTTAGTGTGATCCATTTTGTTTGTAAGTAAAGTAAAAAATTGTACATGAAATAAACAAATGATAAAATTTAAATATATACCGTGATTGGGTAGTACAAAAATTTCTTTGTAAAAAAAAAGTCCTGTAAATGCCTAATATTTATTCTTACAGCTTTGATTGCTACAAGAGCAACTTGCATTAAATGTTCTATTAGCACAACTCTCATTCAAGCAAATTTCTGATAATAAATTATAATGGCATTTCCTTTTAACTTTAATACTGTGTAATGTAATATGTAAATGTTTTATGTTCGATTTTTTAAACCCCAATGCTATAACAATAACTCAACACCAAGGTTGTAACAATACTATTAATTAGAATTTCCTATACGCAGATTGTTAATAATAAACGAATATTTCATGCACATTCTTTTTTTTTATTTTATAAAAAAATTAAAGTTAGGTATGATGCTATATAATGATGCCAAAGAACAAAGAAGGATAGAGAGACAAATCTACAAGCAATACTTTATATATGCGCTAAGTAGAGTTAATTAATACATAATGGGGTCATGAAACAAATAAAATAAATAAATAAATTCAATATTAATTAAATAAAAATTAGAATAAAAATGGCAAATAAAAAATAAATAAAAGTTAAAATAATAATAGAAAATAGCAAATTGGCATTATTTTAAGTAGAAGTTCATATATACATTACGCTAAAAGTGGTCATTGAGAATGACATTAATTGTTCTTATATTCTATTTATATAAATTACAGGATAGCTACTTGTTTACGTATATACATAGAAATTATTTGCCACTAAGTTATGCATTTTCTATTTAAGGAGATTGATTTTCAAATAAATATTTATATACTGCACATGGGTGCTATTTCGAAAATCTCTTTTTTGTATAAAAACTAGGTTGATTTCAAAATAGCGCACATATGTGTACTCGAAATACCGTGCAGGTGACTGAAATACCGTGCAGGTGTGCACTATTTCGTGGTAATACAGTATACCATATAAGTGTGAAATAACATGCAGGAGCATCATTTTGAATAATGATCTGAATTAGGTTTAATTTAGGCCAAAAATCGAAACTACACCCCTGCGCGTTATTTTGCTTTTATATAGTAAGACTTTGCATTTTTTAAAATTAATATTTGTAAATTATTGCTTTTTTTTTTTTGAAACACAATAACAGAGTATTGATTCATCTCATGTGATTTAGCTGCATGTGGTTTTCTTTTCTTGTATGAACTTCATACAAACATACATACATGGTTGTTCCAGTTCTGAAGGCCTGTAACTAAGTAAATCAAAATTATTTGATTAAAGCTTACTGAAATTTTTTAATACTGACATATTATTAGTATATGATAAGAGGTTTTGCGTTAACCTGTATAAATTTATTAAACCAAGATAAAATCATAAATTATCTGCTCTTGCAATATTAATCCATCTTAGATCATGCATGTACAGAACATTGTTATGGCTTGACTTTAGCTCTAAGCTATAAAAATAACCTTATGCGTTGATTTTTTTTTTTTATTTTTTTTTTTTTTAACAAATTCGGCAGTCTTGCCTTCACTTTATTAGGCTTTGTAATAATTTTCTAAACTATTAAA